CAACCAAACAAAAAACAACGCAAAACGGAACCGGTAAAAAACAGTGCTGTCGTTTCCAGGGTCCACTAAGCCGCAGGGACAGTCCACTCAGTGCCGACGGCGCGGGGGGGGATGGCTCTACACGTATGCTGTTCAAGGTGTGATGCTGAAGGCACACCTGCTGAGACGAGGCAGGGCACAACACATGCTATCGATAAGGGCGTGCCACATGAAAATCTCACCAGGCAGTGCCTGGAACGGCATTTCCAGAGTGCAGAAGAAACAGGAAACTGGGGGAGGAAACGCGTATGAGCACTTAGTGGGATGTCGGATCGCCTCGCAATACTTGTATATTTCGGTGTGGCTCGCCGTCGCCGACGGGATTCATTTTGACAGAAGGGCGCTGGAAGGGCATCCATGCTGCATGCCATGCCCCCCACAGATGCGCAAGCGTGTCGCTGCATCTCCTGGGACCAAAACGTCAGCGGCTGCCCCCTCCTTGTTTGTTTCTGCCATGCGATTCGAGAGCGGCTGGAACTTGTGAGGCGCACGGCTTGTTCTGCGTGTTGTTTCCAAACGAGCCCAAAACGGCTTATCTTTTCACGGATGAGAGCGTGGCTCAGGAGACGCGACCTTGACTGCGGCTGGATGCTGGAACACTGATGCACACGCGATTCTTCTGATGTACGAGACGGGGATTCATGGAATCCTCCAGGGTGCTACCTTGCAAGAAGGTGTCCAGTCGACGAGCCTCAGCTTCTTGGGTGTTCAAGTAAGTTGTGCGGGTAATGCCACATACGATTCATCATTCAGTATTCCATACGTGTTGCGTTGCTGTGTCAGCGCTGACTGGCTCCAGCATCTGGGCTGACATGCTTCTCATCTGCCAGTCTGCAAATCCTGAAGCATTTTTTCAAATGTCAGCATTGCTATAGAGATGCCGCACGGCTTTTTTTGTTATAGTACGGCTTCTGACCGCATCATATTTCTTCCCTCGCCCTTCCAAGGTGTGTGTCCATCAGGTAAGGCAGGCACGTCACATGAGAAACCGGCCTGCCAGCAGGTGCTCCGTGGAATTTATTGTCCGCCCGGCTGCCCTGGAGGCCCACAAAGGCACTGAGAGGCCCTGGGGCACCTGAGGAAGTTCGAGGCTCGATGATAAAGCTTCCCCATAAACCCCTGGTGGTGATCCGTATGGTATTGCCCCTGAGCTGGCCCTCCCTTCCTCCTCTCCTCGGCGCCTGGCTCTCCCCTTTCCGCTTTCGCCTCTTGCCCCATCTGTAGGCCGCATGCTCTGTGCATGTTGCTATGCGTATGCATTTCGCGGGCACTTTCCGCCGCGATGCTTGCCGTCACTCTACGAGCTTCCAGCGCCCGCCGGCCAGCTTTGCCCTTGCAGCCGATCTCTTAGTACACGCCCAGCCTGCCTCTTCCCGGCCTCTTTGCCGCCTGTGCAGTTTCGCTTGAGGCTTGTGTTTCGCATCGCTGGCCACCTCGATCAGGGGAAGTACTTCTGGCGCAGGTGACCGTGCTTTCTCGCATTTCTGCACAAGGTCTCGGGCCACATTTGAATTTCCTCGTGGGCCACGTGTTTCCCCCCCTTTTCTCCTGCTACTCCCTCCCCTCCTTCTGTGGGGTGGCCCCGAGTGTGCGGGCCTGGCACCTGCTCTCATGGTGTCAGCGCCACTCCTCGGGGCACACCGTCAGAGTCGACCGCATTCGGCGACTGGGGGCAGTTAAACCAGCTCGCGCCTTTTGGAACCTTTCGGAACCAGCCACGTGGCAGTTTGCCCGTGGCAACTTTGCCCGTGGCAGCGGCGCTAGCCACGTTCCGTGACCTGGAGAAGGGTACCAGGCGCGGGGGAATGCGCATTTGGTTGGGAGGCGGGGCCATATGGCCCGTAAGAGCGCGTTTCTTTATGTTCGGCGATGACGGGCGTCATGGGGGGGGGAGGGGTATGACATGACGCCCCCCCCCGCCGTGTGGCTCCGGCACCACAGCCGCGCCCCCGCGCACGACGCGACGAGCGACGAGCGACGAGCGACGACGACGACGCGAGCAGCATGTAAGTTGCGATCTGCCCATTGCGCCTGTGTGCACCACAACGCTGGCGTGCACCACGCCGCGCGTGTGCACCACAGCGCCTGCGTACACCGCAACAGCCGTGTGCAACGCACCGCCCGCGTTTACCACAATTCTTGGGAGCACTACGGCGCTGGTGTACATACACCGCAGCAGCCATGTGCAACACAACGCCTGTGTACACCAGTGTGCTTGCGTGCACCGCAGCGCCTGTGCACGCCACAACGCCTGTCTACACCACAGCTTCCGCGTGCAACGCAGCGCTGGTGTACACCACAGTGCCTGCGTGAATAGGACAGGTAGAAGGAGCATGTACGTCAGGATCTGCTGCGGACAACTAAACGCCACGCCAGGAAAGTTCTGAAAAACGAATGCGACGTTTTTCCCTCCTCCACCTCCTCCTCCTCCTCCTTACCCCCTGTCGTGCGGCTTGGCGTTACAACGCACGTGCGCTCCCAGCGTGCACCGCAGAATGGTCGATTGAATGGGCCCACTTGGTTCTCGGACGGCCAGTTTCGCTGGAGCCTCCTGGACGCAAGTGGGATATAGGGTGATGCGGGCGGATTGGGGGGGACTCGTAGATTCCAGCGGCGCTCTTTCGTCCATGAGGATTTGTTTTCAATTGTTTTTTCTGGAATCCACACGCGCTCCATTTTGTCACAAGGATTCCTTCTGACATTCTATACACAACAGTGGTGCTGTGTTGCACACAGCTGATGTGGTGCACACACACAGCCGTGGCGTACACAGGCATTGCAATTCACGCAAGCATTGGTGTACACTGGTGCTGTGTTTCGCACGGCCGATGTGGTGTACGGAGGCGCTGTGGTGTACACAGGAGCTGCTGTGCCCGCAGGCACGGTGGCACAAACTGACGCTGTGTTGCACCCGGCTGCTGTGGTGTACATCGGCGGTGTGGTGTACACAGGCGCTGTGGTGCACGCGGGCAACGCGATGTACACAGGCGCTGTGGTGCATATCGCCACCTACATGTTCGTGCTACCCGTCCTCCGTCATTCCTAAGCATTCCCATACGCCGCCGGCGCGAAACGTGACGTCATCGGCCCCCTCCCCTAACAGATGATTGCCGTCATCGGCCCGGACGTAAAAACAGGCTCCAGCCGCGTCCGCGGCGCGCACGACGACGATGAGCGACGAGTGACGAACCACGAGCGACGACGACGGACGACGACGACGTCGACGACGACGACGACGCTTGCGGACCAGACACCTATGCGGATTCCTACGGGGACACCTACGCGGATCCCAGTGCGCACGGCGGCCGTGCCCGGAGCGCACTTGGGAGGGGGAGCGTTACGTCATAGGGGGGGGGAGGGGGGGAGCGGGGGCCATGACGCCCGTCATGCCCCAAACAATAAAAAAACGGGCTCTAAGTCCCATGGTGGCCTTGCGCCATGCTAGCTGATTGGGCTGGGGTTGCTAGTCTGGAAGTACCTCGCAGTGACGAGGTGAACCGACTGCCCCCTACGCACCACGCCCTCTCGGCTGGGGGCAAGTCGCTTGGCGACGAGGTAGTTGCCTATCCCTTGTTAGTCGGTGCGCGCGCCTGCGGGCCCGCTTCCTCCCGTAAGGCAGAGGCCAGGGGTGCCAGTTGCCTGCCCTTGCGGCCCGCTTGCGTGCGGTGTGCACCGTGCATTTCCTGGACCCATGACTCCATGACTCCTTCTTTGGGGTGGCTGCTTCACCTTGCCGTGCCGCCGCCGGGGTGCTCGATTCCCGAGGGCGAGTAGGTTTTCGTGGTGGCTCACGGAGCTTTTTCATCGCGCATTTGGTATGTTCCTCTTGGTGGATTTTGTGCTTCCTCCCTCTTGCACGGCGTTTCGGCCTAGCCGGCCACGTCCCGCCGCGCACCGTCCACATGGCAACCATGGGTGGTTTTGCAGCCCAGCTGTTGGCCGTAATTATTGGAGATGGTCTACGGCAGCCTCTTGAGCCGTCTCGTCTGGAGGCTACGTTTGCGCTTGGACCGATTATTCGGCGAATCGGGGCCGTCGCAGACCGTTTTGGGGGCCTCTTGGGGCACTCCTGCCGCGTGTTGGGGCTTTTCTGGACTCCCGAACCGCCCGGGGGAATGCGTAATTGTCTGGCGGCGACCCCCCCTCGGGCCCTCCCCCCCGGGACCCCCTTCTTGGGATCCCCCTTCCGGCGGGGAGGGGATCAAAGGGAAGGGGTTCCCCTAAGTTCGACTCAGTTACGACGTTGCTCAATGTCGTCTCGGCTGGTGCGCTCAAGGAGGAGGGCCCAGGGAAGGGCGACGGGGACAACGGAAACGACGATTGACGGCGACGACGAGAAGACGACGGAAACGCAAGATGACGACGGAGACGACGAGTAGACGACGGAGACGACACGACGACGAGGGCCCAGAGAAAGGAGACAGGGGGCGATGGAGACTGCGATCGACGGAGGCGACGAGGAGACGACAGAAACGGAGACGACGAAGGAGACGACGCGGAGACGACGGAAACGACACGACGACGACGGCGACCAACGGAAGAGCGTCTTCCACACGCCGACAGTGTCGGCGGACTTTGCGCGGATGCGTACTGCACATACGTGGGCAGCCGCTTTGTGAGGTAGCGCGTTCTGTGTTTGGAAACAACGATTTCTTACAACCCGATTTCTTAGCGTATGTGCCGACTGTATGGTGCAGCCGAGTCGGACGTCCCGTCCAAAGTTTTGCAGCGGAGCTCACTTCGTTCGCGCAGACTTTGACCGATCCTCCCCTCGAGTTGTGGGCCCCGAAATTCGCCCCGAACCTGCTGCCTGGACCCCTTCTGGGGTTCAGCATGGTCAGATGTGCGAGCTGCGCCCAGCCGTGGCGACGAGAGTTGTCCAGAAGCTCAAAGGGCCTCCGAAACGACGACGACGTTGCCGTCACTCGTGTCGTTCTTCCCTCCTTTCTGGCCCTGGCGAGGCACCTGGTGACCTCTCCGCCGCGATCTTGACCGCCGCGCAGTCTGTGCAGGCGATCTGCTGACGACCACCCGCCCCGTCTCACGACAGCGGCGGCGCAGGAAGCGGACGAGGAGGAGGAGGAGGAGGAGGAGGATCGAGGATCGTGAAGTACTTGGAGCGAACGAAGGACTTACACGTACGCGAATCCGCGCTCGAAAGTGCGTATTGCACACGCGTTCGTATCACGAGGCTGGCCTGGCGGACTGGGGGCCGTATTCATGTAGGTGGTTGTGCGCGCGTGTGGGCTCCTTCGATTCTGATTGATCAGAGGAGGGCGAGTTGAGGCCACGGCAGTTGGCCTTCGGGGGGGCCCCCTCGCCGCCACGGCCGGCCGCAGCTCTGACGGGTGCGTTTGGACCCCAGGAGGGGTTCGGGGACTGATTCTGAGCTGGCGTTGTTTGGACCCCGGGAGGGGTCTGGGTCAATTCGTTCTGTTCCATAGGAGGAGGATCGAGGTTCGCGGATTACGGATTACGGTGTTTCCGTGTTCGTAGGATGATTCGCGTCGCCACATTCTTTTCGAGATTCAAGGAGGACCTCAAAGGCCGCAACAGGGTCCCAACATGGCCCTAACGGGGCTCCAAGGGCATCCCCAACGAGGCCAACAAGATGAGATGGTCAACCAGAGGCTTCCCCGACGTTCACACCCGACGCTACGCCCGACACTCATTCTCATCAGTGACTCGGAATTCCCTCCGCTGTCAGCCAGGGGCGCCCGCCGCGCCAGACTGCCAGCCACATCCAAAACACAGGCGAGGGGGGACGTGCCACGGCGATGGTTAGGTGTAGGCCCCACCCCGAAGGGAAACGAGGGGTACAGTCAGGACGCTGCCGAGACTCTCCGTGGCTAGAACATCTCCCTTGTAATCCTTAGTTCAATAATTGTTCCTCATTGTGTAAAGCATACGGACAGAGACGTTGTTGCCGCCTCGCTTCGGCGCGACTCGCTGACAACGTTTCAATTCCTCGAGCGTCGACGCCCCGCGCCTTTCCGAGCCTCCAGCCCAGCGGTCCCCCGAGGGACCTAAGAGTCCCCAGACACCGGCCGGACGCCTGAAGACGACCCAAATCATATATCCGAGAGGTTGCCTAAAGGCAGAAACATATATTTCCAACACGTTATTGTATGATTCCCAACCATCCTTTGGTGATGGGAGGCGGTTCCCGCGTCCCTCTTCCCTCCGTCCTCCCCCTCCCCCCTCCTCCTTCCTCCTTGCGTTTCGCCCACCCATTACGGCGTTTCGTGGCCCTATAGGGAGCTCCACCCAAGGCCCCAGTGACAGAGTTCGCATGGCGGCCTCGGGCCATTTCGGCACACCCCTCACGAGGATAGGGGCCCATGGGGAGCTCCACCGAAGGAGCCAGTGGCAGGGTTCGCATGGCGGCTTCGGGCCAGTTCGGCACACGCCTCACGAGGATCGTGGCCCCATAGGAGCTCCACCGAAGGCGCCAGCGGCAGGGTTCGCGAGGCGGCCTCGGGCCAGTTCGGCACACGCCTCACGAGGATCGTGGCCCCGTAGGAGCTCCACCCAAGGCCCCAGTGGCAGGGTTTGCATGGCGGCCTCGGGCCATTTCGGCACCCCCCTCACGAGGATCGTGGCCCCATAGGGAGCTCCACCGAAGGAGCCAGTGGCAGGGTTCGCATGGCGGCCTCGGGCCATTTCGGCGCCCCCCTCACGAGGATCGCGGCCCCTTCGGCACACACCTCACAAGGATCGTGGCCCCATAGGGAGCTCCACCGAAGGAGCCAGTGGCAGGGTTCGCGGTGGCCTCGGGCCATTTCGGCACACCCCTCACGAGGATCGTGGCCCCATAGGAGCTTCACCGAAGGCGCCAGAGGCAGGGTTCGCATAGCGGCCTCGGGTCATTTCGGCACACCCCTCTCGAGGATCCTGGCCCCGTAGTAGCTCCACCGAAGGACCCAGTGGCAGGGTTCGTGGCGGCCTCGGGCCAGTTCGGCACACGCCTCACAAGGATCGTGGCCCCATAGGGAGCTCCACCGAAGGCCCCAGTGGCAGGGTTCGCATGGCGGCTTCGGGCCATTTCGGCACCCCCCTCACGAGGATCGTGGCCCCATAGGAGTTCCACCGAAGGCGCCAGTGGCAGCCTCCCTCATGGCTCTCAGAGCCCTCTCCTGCTTCAGATGCCGGGTCCGGGGGACGCCGTCCTCGTCGTCGGCGGCGCCCGCGAAGACGGCCACGAACGTGCGTGTCCCTGAGCATGTCGGGCTTTGGCGGGAAGCCGTGGCCACAGAGGGAGCGCGGGCGAAGATGGTATTCACAATTGCGGTATTCACAATTGCGTACAGTCGGCCCGGATTTGTAGGTCGACCCTGCCAGCTCAAGGGTACCCTTGTGTCCTGTGCCTCGCGACGCGTGCCTTCTTACACTCCTATGGCGATGTGGCCCTCGGAAGGGCCTTGTGTCCTCTCGCGCGTCCTGTCCAATCAAGGCCGACTGTATGGTTGGGTCTTCCGCCAGGCGAATTGTTTTGATGATCCGTTTTTAGGTCTTCCGGGCGTCCGAGGCCGCCCAGGAGGCCCGAAAACCACCAACATTATTCGCCAGTCAATCCAAAGGAGACCCAATATGGCCCGAAGAGAGCCCAAGATGATCCAACATTCACGACGGCCAAAGATGGCCCTAAGACGTCTTCGGAAGTGTTTCACATCGTGACCTGGTCGTTCAGGAAGATCGCGGTTGGAAGCAGGGTGGCCCGAGGAAGGCCTCAGAGGTCCCCAGAAGGCGCCCATGAGGCCACCAGGATGTGCCACATTGTAATTCAAAATGTTTGTGAAACCCCTAAGGCTCTCTCCAAGGAGGAGACTCCGCAAAAAGAGTTGAGGAGGATGGGGAATGTTCTGCTGGGTAGGACAAGAGTGAGGGAGATGAAGAGGAAACATAAGGGACTTATAACGAATCGCACTGTTATAGCGACGTCGTCGGCAAAGGCAACAAGGAGTTATCGCTAAATGCTATGCTTTACCTTTTCTGCCTTCCCGCCTCCACGTCAAACTGGAAGGACCAAGATGCATAGCGCGACACGCCAATGTAGTCCTGCAACACGTACATAAGATATCAAGAACGCAGGCGGCGCATCACCGGCCGCCCACTGGGAGTTTGACGCACCTGTTCGGTAGTCTCTTGTAGGCAGTTTTGAAACCTCTTTGTTGGCTCTCGGGCGCGGTTTGGGGGCTTCTTGGGGCCTCTGTTGGACCTTTTGGGTTTTTTTTGGAGTCCTCCTGGCGGTCTGGGAGGTCCCGTTTGGGCAGAAAGCTGGAAACGTAATTTCGAATTTTGGCTCTAGGGCCCTCTTGGGGCCGTCATGGGCCGTCTTCGGCGCGTCTTGGGCCGTCTTGGGGCCGTTTTGACACGTCTTGGGGCCCTCATCGGGGTCTCTGGGGCGATCTTGGGGGTTTGTAGGCTCGTCGTGGACGCTTAGAACCCCCAAAGTCGCACGTGCATGCGTTTTCATTTTTTCCCAATCATCCTGTGGTGTTGGGTCCTCGTTTTGAAGAGACAGCGCCCCGCGTCCCACCTCCTCTCCTCCTCCCCCTCCTCGCCCTCCTCCCTCCTCCTCCTCCTTGCCTCTGCTCTCGGCACACCCCTCACACGTTTCGTAGCCCCATAGGGAGCTCAACCGAAGGTCCCAGTGGCACAGCCCGCATGCGGTTCCCCCACCCAGGGCAGCGTTTCGTAGCCCCACAGGGAGCTCCACCGAAGGTCCCAGTGGCACAGCCCGCATGCGGTTCCCCCACCCAGGGCAGCGCTTCGTAGCCCCATAGGGAGCTCCACCGAAGGTCCCAGTGGCACAGCCCGCATGCGGTTCCCCCACTAGCGCAAGGTCCCCCATAGGGAGCTCCACCGAAGGTCCCAGTGGCACAGCCCGCATGCGGTTCCCCCACCCAGGGCAGCGCTTCGTGGCCCCATAGGGAGCTCCACCGAAGGTCACAGTGGCACAGCCTGCATGCGGTTCCCCCACCCAGGGCAGCGCTTCGTAGCCCCATAGGGAGCTCCACCGAAGGTCACAGTGGCACAGCCCGCATGTGGTTTCCCCACCCAGGGCAGCGTTTCGTGGCCCCATAGGGAGCTCCACCGAAGGTCCCAGTGGCACAGCCCGCATGCGGTTCCCCCACCCAGGGCTGCGCTTCGTGGCCGCATAGGGAGCTCCATCGAAGGTCCCAGTGGTGCAGTTCGCATGCCCCCCCCCCGCCCAAGGCAACGTTTCGTTGCCCCATAGGTAGTTCCCGAAGGTCCCAGTGGCGCGTGTCGCATGCGCCCCCCCCACCCAGTACAGCGCTTCGTGGCCCCATACGGAGCTCCACCGAAGGCCCCAGTGGCACAGCCCGCATGCGGTTCCCCCACCCAGTACAGCGCTTCGTGGCCCCATAGGGAGCTCCAGCGAAGGACCCAGTGGCGCAGTTCGCATGCGTCCCCCCCACCCAGTACAGCGCTTCATGGCCCCATACGGGGTTCCCCCGAATGCGAAACCCACAGCTTCATATGGTTGGGTCCTTCGCCAGGCTAATTTTAGGAATGTGACGATTTTGCCTGTCGGGGTCTTCTTGGAATGCCTCTTGAAACCCCCTTGGGGCGTCTTGGGGGCCTCGTGGACCGTCTCACTGCCATCTTGGACGTCTTGGGGCGGTCTGTCAGCGACGTGGAGCCTTCTTGAACCCTTTCGAGGCCCGTCTTGGGGCTCTTTGGGGTCGTCTTGGAGCCCTTGGGATTTCTTGAAAGCTTCGCCTCAGGGGGGTCTGCGAGGGACCGCCGACAGAGTGGAGGCCCAGAGGAGGGACTTCAGGGAGATTTTTACCAGGCCCAGGCGAATCCTACCAGGCACTTTGTCAGAGTGGACTCGCACGGCCCAACCCGCAGCGCGGGAGCGGCCGGATCCGTAAGGGCTTCTGTGTTTTTCCCAATCATTCTGTGGTGTTGGGTCCTCGTTTTGAAAAGACAGCGCCCCGCGTCCCACCTCCTCTCCTCCTCCTCCCCCTCCTCGCCCTCCTCC